TGAGAAAACCCAATCAAACATGCCAGCAGCAAAGAGATAATATATTGGTTCATAGTCCTTAAAAGAGTCCCTGGCTGATGCTAACAGTTAAGTGCTCGGCTGCCAAATTGAAGGTTTGAGCCTACCTAGAGGCACCTTGAGAGAAAAATAATCCACGAAAACCCTATGGCGCACATAAGCTCCAAGACTGTTTGTTTGCTGGTGGTACCTTAAAAATCTAGGGATAAGGACAGCTCGGGGCAGATGGCATCGTCAGTTTTTCAGCCCTACGGTCTACTGGTTGACCAACTAACAGCTCCAGCTTCAGCGCTTTCTTGTTTCACATCTGTGTCTCCATGAAGCCATAGAAAATCATGATGGTCCTCAGAATGCTTGTACTAGACTTATTTGACTATCACAAAGCCAACAGGTTATGAAAGATCACCTGAAGAAGGACATACGCCCCAGCTCCAGCTGCCCACTCAAACACCCACTGTGTTCTTTGTCACTGATTGGTCACTTGCACATCCCTCAGCCAATCCTGGTAGCTGGAGGATGGCAAAAATGACTTGCCTCAATCTAGTTTTCAGTCCACCTCTGGAACTAAATCTAGATTCAGATATGTCCTGTGGTAGTCCTCTAGCTATGATTTACTGCAGAGTTGGTGACGGGATAAGTGTGTGATCCCTTGCATCCATAGCCAGACTCAATGACACTGGTCTGCTTGCATCCCAGGCCTCCACCTATCTCAGCCCAGAAGACCTCCTTAGAAATGAGGTTGAAGAAAGTCAGGGGAAATTACAAGTGGCCGTGGATACGCTGAACTTCTTCAAGCAAGCATTTAGAGACAGAAGGGAGAATCTCCATACATACTTTAAAGAGGACCAGGAAGTGAAGGAGTGGGATTTCCAGTCGTCCCTGATCTTCGAGCGATTAGATGGCTTCCTCCGACGTCTGCACACGGTGAAGGTGGGTGTGGTACTCGCTTTATTTTAGGTGCTCAGGAAAAGAATGGCACATCTGATAACCCAGCCTCCGTTGGCTGGAAGAAGGATGAATAATAATCTTTGAAACCCACAACCTTCCTCTAGTTCTTAAACGCTTCCTCCCCCCAACTACCATGACCCCAGTTCTGCCATGCAGACCTGGTTAGACCAGAGGATGCACCGCGGTACAGATGGGAATTGGAAACGCAGGGAATCTAGGACAGGTGAACCCCTCAGGACCAGGGGTCACAATGGCGATACCAGGAGGGAAGGGGGGTAGAAGGGGGGAATTGATCACAGGGATCTGCATATAGCCTCCTCTCTGGGGGACAGGCAGTAGAGGGATAGGTGAAGAGACGCCGGGCAGTGTAATATAAGATATCATAATAATTTATAAATTATTAAGGGTTCATGGGGGAAGGGGGAGTGGGAAGGGAAGGAGAGGGGGGAAAAGGAAGATGGGCTGATTCTGGGAACCCAAGAGGAAAGCGAATTTGGGGAATAATGAGGGCAGCAGATGTATAGGTGTGCTTTACGCAATTGATCTATGTATTGTGATGAATTGTATGAGCCCCAATAAAATGATTAAAAATAATAATAAGCTTAATACATAGATGTCAATTGACTTGATCACCATGGGATGGTTCTGATATTCATTTAGGAAATTTTGATCATAGAGCTACTAAAGAAGACCCAAGGAATTGGTCAATAAAGCCAATGGTTTTCAAATTGTACATGGTGTTCTAACTTTGTTTCAAATAAAGTTTTACTAAAAGGACCAATCAGGGGGAAATAAAAGCAAGCTGATTGGGGTACAGTTATGGCAATCCAACCTAGCTAGCTGCTCTAAACTTCTGTTCCACTCAAAGGAGCCCTGGTGGTGCAGTGGATGAAGCATTGGGCTGCTTATCCACCGCCCATTCTGAAGGGTGAAAGATGAGTTTTATCGGCTCCGAGAAAGATTCAAATCTCAGAAACCTCAGGGAATGTTCCTCTGCCCTTTAGGGTTGCTATGAGTGGTAATTACTCAGTGGCAGTGAGTTTGAAGTTTTCTCTTACCATCATGGTGTACAGGAGACGGCAGGTGAACTCACAGAGGAGATTCAGGGGGTGCAGAGACACAACATCAAGGCCTTTGAGTGAGGTGTCCAACATGCATTGTAGAGGCAGGCAGGGTTGGTGTGTGATTGGAGGTAGGGAGGAAGAGGCTGCAGTCCAGGGGTGTTCTGAGAGAGTGGGAAGCATTCGAGGAAATGTCTGACAGAGAGGATGGGAGAGGACCTGAAGACAGAAAACACTAGAGGCGAGATCTTAGGAAAGATGCGCCTGAAATCCTTAATCTGGATCACGGAGAGTGCATGTCATTGATACCCAGCTTTATCTTAAATGCCCACGTTTCCCTGCAGCCACTACCATTGAAGCTCTTGGTGCACAGCCTCTCCTCCGCACCCCCTGCTGCACCATTTCCTCCACTCACCTCCCCCATCAGCCCCTTTGCTATTGTTTACCCCGAGGGGCCTGACGCCCCTGCTCTGACTGGCCTCTGACCTGGGCTGACCACGTGGACTAAATCCCTGCAGTCTGCAGTGATCATATAGGCAGGCACTCGGGCTCAGAAATGACTGCACCAGGCTGGGTGCTTGGGCCTGTGTGTACCTGCTAATGATGCGACTTTGCATATAGACAGCTCTCCTACCATTAGGGTGCTTAATCTACTGGGGAGATGCAATAAATATAAGCAGATTTCGATGGTCACTGGTCTCCCTGGGGTCATTACCCTCACAACAGTCTGCTCTCAGGCTGGGCGGCTTTTTCTTTCTGAATCGGGCACAGATGCGTAAAAAAGCAGTAGTCCCAGTGTAAGGAGAGGGTGTGACTTGAATGTCACCATTCTCTCTTGTCTTGCTGCTCCTTCCCTTCTCCATCTGTCTGTCCTTTGCTCTGGTTTGAAGGAGGCTTGGTGGCAGTGTGGGATAACCGTAAGGGGAGAGGTTCAAACCCACCAGCTGCTCCAAAGGAGAAAGGTAAGACTGCCTAGCAGAGATTTACAGCCATGGACACCTTTTACGGTGGGACTAGGAATTGGAATAGACTCCGTGGACGTGGTTTGGGGTTTTGGTATCTTGCTTCGGTTTGTTGGTTTCCCCTTTTGCTTTTCTGTCTAGCTCTACCATTTCTTTGCCTTATTGCTTTTCTTCTCCTTGTCCTTCCCTCAAAGGCTTTGAGTGTGCACTCAGTTGCTAGCCAAAATGTTGGAGAGGTGCCTGGGAAGAAAGGGCTGGTGATCTACTTCTGAAAAATTAAGCAGAGGAAACCTCAGGAGCACAGCGGTTACTCTAACACACGTGGGGTCACTATGAGTAGGGATTTTCTGGGCAGCGTATGGATACTTGGCTCTTGGGATGAATGTAAGTATGCAAGCTCCACCAGGAATGGCAGAGTTATTGAAAATGAAAACTGTTTTCACTGCCCCTGCCTCTTCCTTCCTCCTCTTTCTACTCTCTCTGTTTCTCATCTGTTTCTGGACACTGAATACTCATGATTCCTGTTCCCACTTTATTTGCCTTTCCTCCCACCCCTTTTTGTTTTCCATCATACTCAGCCCTCTTGCCCTTCCCCACCCCCACCTCCACCCCACCCTCTGCCATCCTTTCTTAGTGCAGTGGGAGCCACACGGGACTATCGATCCGTCTTCTGGCATATTTCATGTAGCCCTTTAGTTAACATTCTGTGTATCTCTGTGATCGATGCCTGTTTGAGATCAGATTAATCTGCTTCTCCCCAGCCAGAATTAGCATGAACTTCGCCTTATTCATCATTCTTCTGCTGTTCTAATACAATATATGGCCACCAAGAGGCTGGCGTCCGCGAGCATTAAATACACAAAGCCAAGCTAATGAAATGACATCAGTGTGTCTGCCCCACTGCCTGCACGTGCCTACACGTCCACCTTGGGAAGGGCTGGCTTTTAACCTTCGTGGTTCTCCTGAACGGCCTCCCTCTGATTTGCGTTGCTTTTTCCGCTCTTTTGCACAAGAGTGTTTGCCTGCTTGGCAGATGGGCTCTTCTCCTCCGGGTGCCTGCTAAATGGAAGGGGGCAGGCCAGGAAAGCGGCGGCGCATTGTGGAGTAATTTTCAGCAGGTCTGTAGCCTGTGGATTAATTGCATTCTCTGGCTACCACCATCCTCCCCTTCATCATTACACCCATGGTGCGGCTCATCTCTTGGAAGGCAGAGGAGGGAAGAGAAGGGGAAAGAGAAACAAAGAATTAACGTGTCTCATGAGCCTCTCTCCTGGCAGAGCTTGCCTACTTCCAGCCATCCCAAGAGCCAGGTGTTATTACCCTTAGTTTGACAAATGGGCACAATTAAGTTGAATTGTCCAAATTACCTTGTCCGTGGTCACAGAGCTGAGAGGTCTAACTTCAATTAGTACCAGGGCCGTAGGGTCCCAAGTATTGTCTTGCCATCAAACTTTTATATCTTGTCTTGCCATCAAACTTTTATATCTCCTGACGAATTCTAAAGGCTTCCCTCCCCCACTGCCTCTCTCTTTTCCTTTCTTCCTTCCATTTGGAGGGTCCCAAACTGATGATATGATTTTATCCTGCCCTTGTACACTCCTTTTTAAAAAAAAACACCACCATATGGTGCCTAGGTCTTTGATCTAAACATACTATTTGGTCAAAATTGAATTCCCATTCCATGAAAGGTCCATCTTTCATTCCCTAACTTACTGAAGAAACCCTCAAAGCATGTAAAATCTTCACAATTGGAAGGAATACTCAGAAATCAAAGAGGAAAAGAACCATTTCATTGCTTCCCGATTCCTTCCTTCACTTTACCACACACACACACACACACACACACACACACACACACACCCTACTGTAGAGGCTGCAGGCAGAAACACAAGCGGGGGGGCTCCCCCCCGCCCCACCCCCGCTTGTGTTTCTGCCTGTAGCCTCTTCCCTCTGCACAATGTAGTAAGCAGCTTGGAGAGAGCTCTCATTTCTTCCATTATAGAATCGCTGTAAAGCTGTGATTCACTCGGAGACCCACTGATTTCCTGCTGCGGCTTTATGCGCAGCGATTAGTGGGGAGATAGGTAATAAGCTGACCTAATACACACCGCTTTTCCTTCTGCTCCTTTCACCGTCTCCAGCCCCTCTACCACCTCCTTTCATTCAGAGCCTAATTGGGCTGCCTTGCCTTTGAGTCAGTCTGGAACAAGTGGTCACGTAGAAGGCCATTAGCCATGGAAGGCCGGCAGTGGTGGAAAGGTAAAGAGAACAGTTCTCCTTTTATTATTTTTTTCCACAGATGACCTTTTGCAATTTTCATCTGCTTTGTGCTCTCCCTTAATGAATTCTGAAGGCATTTCTTTTAAGACGGGCGGCATGACCTCTGCAGTGAGACTGGAGGTGCTGTTTTCCAGGCTGGCCATTATTCCTGGTGTTGATGCTTCACCTCCTGGGCCAGAGCTCAGATGGAACCCTCCTTCCCCCTTCCTTCCCCAAATCACAATTCAGTGTGGCGCAGTTTTTCTTAAGAATAGAACCTGATCAGTCCAGGGAGCTGGCTGGGACCTCGATGCTTTTGTGATACCAGTCTGTAAAGGAGAAATTGAATGTCGCTGCCCACCACCCCCTCAACTCCCATATATATATATATATTTGAAGGGCCCTCCAAAAGCTCATGGGAAAATCCCATTCCATTTGAGTTTGTTGATGCTCCCTGGTACACACTACCAACCAGATCCCATTGGTATGATCACTGGTAAGTCTAGCGCCTACTGCTCACTGAAGCCTTACAAGGTACTTCTCATATAACTCTGTGACCCAGGGCTACTAAGGCTTTATTGACCCCATTTACAGATCAGGAAAGCAAAGCCTAGGAAAGTTAGTGCCTTGTTTGGGGCAACATTGCTAGTCATTGCTAGTCAACCACCATCTGCCTGTCTGTTTGCCATACTGTGGTATC